AGTGTCCCTTATACTGCCATGCTTTTCTATATGGATACGTTATGCAGAATTAATTGTATCAGTACATTTAGAACATAAAAATAAAATTTAAAAAATCCAGGGGGTTGAAATGCAGATTAGTGGGCAGGGAGCCTCAGCAATGTACACAGGCATCAACATGTTTGTAGAGTGGTGATTTTATTTTCATTAGGGAGTTTACTGGCATAAATACATTAACAAAAAATCACCCAGGGATTTTTTTTCCTTGCCATCATGGTGGCAGCAGTGTGTCAGCCCTCACAAGTGTACCAGCAGCAGCAAGCTGACCAGCAGCGGGCTGTGTTGGGTCAGACTTACAGTTTGGGCTTTTTCTGCAGTGGAGAGTGTGGTCAGGTATAGTGTTATTCACGGTTGGCGTAACTGTGCCAGCAAAAGTCCTGCCATGCAATTTCAGGTACTGGCAATTTTTTGCCATTTCACTGATAGAAGTTGCATCCATATAAGCAACACTTTACCAGTACTGTACAGATCAGATCTCATGCTCCTTGGGCAGTGCTCCCTCTGAAGACAATTTTGGGTGCTGAATTTATCAAATACACACTGTAGTCTGAGTAAGAGTTGCAGAACCTGGCTCTCATCTGGCTCTGAAGTCTAAGCTAAGATTTCAGTAGTTAAAACGCCTGATGCTGATGTTGCTTACGTTGGTATTAATGAGTAACAGGGAATGCCAATAGCAGTCATGTGCCATTAAATGCAACAGGGTTGTACCAGTGCCAGGTCGAGTTGAGTGAGGTCATGAAAAAGTCCTTGAAGCTGCTGTGCCTGGGTTGGGAAATCAGTCTGGGACCAGGCAAAGGAGGGATTTGGTCCGGCTGGGCTCAGACTCGGCGGTGTAGATGTCTACCTGGAGCAGCCTGGGAAGGTTCCTGCTGGATCGGGATCGGTGTGGTCAGGGGGTCCTGGGGAGCACACCCTCACCAGCACACCTGAGAGTGGCACCTAGAGCCCAGCCCAGTCACCTAAGAACAGCTGTCAAGTGCAATGAAGGGCAGGTAACCAAGACAGCTGTGCACAGCTGGAAAGCACCTTGTGGGGAAGCTGCACCTTGCTGGGGCAGGAGATGGGGACCAAGCAGGGTTCCCCACAGCGTTGGGGAAGCGTTGTAGTGCCGTCCACCTCTACCTGCAGTCGGGTTTGGCACCTGATTCCTGCCTGTAGCGCTGCCCAGCTGATCCGCTCCGTGGGCTTGGCTGGCACTCTTGTTTGGGGGCTCAACTCGATTGCCTGAACGTAAGCACCCAGCGCTGCTGGAGGTGCCCTGACTGGTTCCCCCTCATCTCCAGGGGCTGCTTCTGAATGGCCCGGGCCTCCCGTAGGTCCCCTGTCGTACCTGCAAGAGGCATGGTATGCACAGATATTTTACATCCCTTAGGACATTTGAAATGGCCCCAGGTGCCTATGTTTGGGCAACAAAATTTCACCACAGATTTCTACAGGCTACAGTGACAGCTTTAACGTCTAGCTAACATACAGACACCTCCGTTGCAGACATCAAAATTTAGATGTGGGAATCTGGAGCTGAATGCCATCCTAAGAGTGACATATTACGTGGGAACAATAGCAAATAAAAGTGTAGCCTGGATCGAAGTAAATGTTCACTTTAAGTGGTTGTATTTGTAGATATACTGCTGTCAGGAAAAAGGAAAACAATTGAAATACAACAATTTAATTAATGTGCTGTCATAGGAATTTAGGTGTCCAGGTAAAATTAATTCATTTGCATCAGTGTAAATAGGTAGAGCTGTTTATGTTTGCATTCTCAGAAGAAACCTAACTGAGGATGCAGCCTAAAAGACTGAGTAATCTTGATTGCTAGCATTGGCGATCCTGTGCTGTTGCTAGACTAGCAGATGTGAATTTCAGAATATCCAGAGTGGATTCAGCTTAAACCTTTAATTCTCAGAAATCTTGAAATTCCTTGAAATTTTTGATGAACACTTAGAATGTATCAGTCAGTGCGTGACATTTTGGTTTTCATCCTATATGAAGTGCCCTGTATATCTCTACTCATGTCTGTAGATGTTACCAATAATAATTGTGTAACATAAACCTGATTTCACTTACAAAGGATTAATCAAGAGAGGGTCATCTGAGGTCAGTGGTGCTGCACCAGTATAAAGCCAGTGACAGGTGGAACAAAATTGTTTCCTTAGAATTTTTTCGCTGGTGTCAAGAATCACACTTACACTTAAGTGAGTGCAATATTGGAGCCTATAAGTTGTGTGCTGGATATTTTGTTCCTCCTTGTAAGTGGTCACTTGACCAGGTCCTGCTTGAGTAGGTCACTTAGAAGAATGTGAGGTTATCAGTCTGGTTTCCTCTGATTTTTGCTATGAGAGGATTACATTTTCTGTTTTATTAGTATTCTTCAATGCAGTTATAGATCTAAGCCTAAAAATACACATCCTTCAGCATTGTTTATTGCACAGCAGAGATTCATCTGGCTGTCATTTGGATCACCGCTGTAGGTGGAGTGCTGCAGAAGGATAGCAGTCCTCTCTTTGCAAATATTATTGCTCAAGATAAGGGTGTAAAAAGCAGATTGGAAGATGACGTGTGACGTGTCCTTCCCTCAGTCTAAAAGTACAGGATCATGGGATGAACTTCACCTGACTGGTTATGCAGAGTGTGCTCACTTATGTAGCTCTTATGGACAAGACTTTGCAAAACAAAAACATAAAATGACTCTCATGAGCTCTTTTCTCAGTCACTGCATATGTGGAGACACTCTACCTGTGTCCGATTCTGAGGTAAGAACCTTATTTAACCTGTGATTTTGCTGCTTTGACCTTAGAGGGGCTGTGTTTAAGGGACAGCTTTGCTGAAGCTGTGTCAGTGCACAGGCCAGGGAGTCACTCTCTACTGAATTGCTTATACTATTGAAACTGGTCCTGAGCTAAAATCTGCAGAGAAGCTGAAGCATGCTTGAGTGACAGGTGTGACACCATAGAAATCAGAATTTATGCAAGTGCTCTATTTAGAATAAATTTCATGCTGTAAGTGAAATAATTGAATGTAGAGCGATGGATGACATTGATCATTTTTCATACCTTAATTGCAGTGATCATGTTAAAATGCTGACTGTTTAATAACTCTGCCTACTAGCTAAAGTGCTTTCATACAGTGAAATTTATCTTAAGCTGTCTTTCAAACAAAAAGTGAAATCTGCCTGCTGTATCAGGTGGCCTTCTAAAAAAAGCTCATCGGAGTTGTACTGGCCTGGTTGAAAATGGTAGGTGGAGAAGAAGGTGACAGAAGATAAGTCCTCTTTCACAGGCATCATTGTAAAAGGCTGATTCTGGGCTGCATGTTTGCTTTGAATATGCAGTACCTGAAATGCCTTCCCCTGGTCTGAAACAGATGAACAAAATGTAGCCAGGCAGACAAAATGATGCCTCTCTTTTTTGGAATACTTATTAGCTTTGAACATCCTCAGAAATGTACTTGGGTAGTCTGAAGATACCCTAATAAAGAAGTAGGCTGATTTTTTTACAAAAAAAAGGCAGAATTAGCTCATAATTTTTATGAGAACTTGGGGCAGGGTTCACTTGCTCAGCAGTGGTTTGGAGTTTGTCATTCATTCCATCAGGCGTTCATGCCAGCTGCCACCCAGCCCAGAAATACCCATCTTCCTTTCTCTGTTTCTTTTCTGTTCTTATAGAGGAGCCAGGAAAAGCCAAGGAAATGCTGAGAATTTGGAAATTTGAGGGAAATGTGAATATAAATTTTTATGCACAGTATTTTTTCTCAAAAACTGTAGGGATTTTGTTAGAAAAGTTTACAGCAGTATTACTCCAAATGCATTGAAATCCTTAAAAATGATCTCTCTAACAAGTATTTCAGTTAAGGTTATTTTATTTCCAAACTTGCAGTACCAGTGCAATTATGATACCTATAGGCATTAACCTCCCTGAGCCAGATGTGCTGTTACATAGGAACAACGTGCTCATTACCTAAGCTTCCTCTCTAAAAACATCAGTTTTTCCTGTATTTGTGTTACAATGTATCTCTGGCCCTAGCCTGTATGACTATAACCTTGGTGAGCATCTAGAAAATTAGCTTCTCCCTTCCAAACTGGATGAGCTCGCTTACCCAATTCGCGCACGGCTGCACAATCTCTAGATCTGACCCAAGCGAGAGCGCAGGAGTGAGCGGTAGGAGGGAGTGCGGCTGCCTGGGTTGGTATCGGCTGACTGGGATCAGCAAGCAGTCAAACTGCTTGCTTTTTCATTACTGGGTAAAGGTAAAGCAGAGGAATATCATAGAATGGTTTGGGTTGGAAGGGACCTTAAAGATCATCTAGTTCAACCCCCCCCCCCACAGGCAGGGACACCTTCCACTGGACCAGGTTGCTCAAAGCCCCATCCAACCTGGACTTGGACACTTCCAGGGATGGGGCATCCACAACTGCTCTGGGCAACCTGTTCCAGCGTCCCACCACCCTTATCATAAAGAATTTCTTCTTGTATCTAATCTAAATCTACCCTCTTCCAGTTTAAAATTGTTCCCCCTTGTCCTGTCACTCCAGGCCTTGGTAAAAAGTCCAGAAACATAGCGTGCTGGTTCAACTGTTTTTACTGGTGTTATATGTAACATCCTACTGGTGCACAGGAACAAGTCCTGTGAATGCCAGGGCTGTCTTTCCCAAGACATCATTCAGTGAATTCAGTGTTTATGATAGGGCCTGTCTGTGTGCTGAGGTAATAGGTGAGTTTTTAGCGTTATTAGTCATGTTTGCCTAAGAGGTGCTGATGGTTGGGTGTTAACCTTACTCAGCACCAGCACCACGATGTCTTTCCTTTGCAAGGTTACTCTCTTCCTGAATTGTCAGTTGCGTTTGTTGTATTTATGATAAGTCTTTCTTTTTAGCAATGTTAAATTGATCTGCCATATGAAAAACTCACAAATGATTAACTGTCAGAAAATTTTGTGGCTTATTTGACTTGTTCACATTTAAAAAGGTTGTTTCCGATGATCACTGGAAGAGGTCCCCATCCCAGGATGAAGAAAAGGCAGACACACAAAAGGTCACACCCAGGAGATGGGGCTCTGGAAAAAGATCTCGCCCCAGACCTCTCTCAGACTATGGCCAAATGTCGATCAGAAGTTTTTCTATACCAGAAGATGCAGTTGCGGTGGAGTCTCAGAAGACAGACTGCACGGATGGAGAAAATCAGCCAGGACTGGCTTCCGTCGGGTCTGTGATCCAAAGCAATACAGTGGGCTACCACAGAGGGCGAAAAAGAAGACCCATCTCCGTAATAGGTGGGGTCAGTTTCTATGGAAGTGGTCCGGCAGAAGAGATGGAAGTTCTGCTGACACAAGTAAGATAAGAGATGTGCTCTCTGCAAACTGCAAAAGACCCTTTCACTTCCTTGTCTCTATCTTCAGCCTAGAAAATAGAATGGATGCTTCCTTCTCTTCCTTCCCTTTTGTCAAGCTGACATTGTATACTTACAATTCTGCTTTCCTGGTCACTAATTACTTTGTCTTCTTGTTAAGAAACAAAACAGCATGGAATAAAACTGATACTGACTTTGGGGTAATCTTTTCTGTATTGTAAATTAACCTTATTTCTTTCTTGGAATGGTCTTTATGTCTCATATTGGTATATAAGAGCTCATTTGTGTGTAATACAGCTATGTGTTTAGTCTCCTTACAGGGTGAGGGCCTGAGGAACAGAGGAGTACAAACAAATATGATAATAACACAATATTTATTGATCATTTCAAATTCTCCTAAACCAGGTCTGTTCAAAACCTGTGCCATTAGCTGTGGTGTTCAAAATCTTGGTATTGGCATATCAAGGATACTTTAATAAAGACATTGCTTAAGAAAATTGGTAATAAATTGAGAAATTAATGAAACAAAGAATCTAAGAAAACTGGCAATATGAATAAAATGTCTGTTTATGTACTGCTAAATTGAACTGATGGAACGAACGTAGGAAGCCTGTAAGAAAATATCATGTGGTTGAGTTAGCACTTGAGCAGTACCTATATACTTATTTGCCATCTCTGCTAGCTTAGGTAAGACAGCAAGAAATAAAAAACTTCTGAAAGATAAAAATAGCTCCTTTTTCCCTGGAGGTAGTCCTGAGTGGGTACAATGTGTAGAGGAACTTACTGTTGTGTTGGTAGTGGTGGCCCTGTCTTGCAGCTGCTTGCAGAGCTTCAGGCTCATGGGCTTTTGTAACACTGCACTGATCAGGTGTTTTCCACTTTCCAGAAAAGCTGGAGGACTCTTACCTGCAGCAATTTGCAAGCTGATAAAGCAACAGAAAAAAGGAATAGTACTTACATCCTCAGAAAACGTGATTCTAGTGGTTATTAATGGCATTTGAATCCTCTTAATCTTTCTCGTGCCACTCGATCCTCCTGCTGGAAAGTTTAGTGGTACTCCTCGGACTGAAATCAAATGCTAAAACAATGGCAGGATTTTCAGTCTCCTGTGAAAAGCAATTTTTAACATGAACATTGTTTTTGTATATTGCACATTTTTTTCTTTATAAATCCCTGATGAAAAAATGCATCTTCAAGCAAAACTCCAACTGAAGCCAATGAATCTTTTACCCAGGCAAAGGCCATAGTTTCAAACCCTATATAATTGGGGTATTTTAAAATTAATTTTATCATTACTTAGCTTGGAGGAAAAAAAAGAAGAAAATTATTATAAATTCTAGGCCATCTTATTCAAGAATACCAGATGGATTTCAAGGGACAGTAAGTATTGGCAACCCAAATGATCCTTGCTGTACCATGGAAGTAATGTAACACTCCAACCCCTTCATTTACTGATGAAAACAAATTGATCTCTATTCAAACCTTGCTCACATCAGTTTATTAATGAAGGAACATGCATCAAGGCAGCTATTTGAGTTGACTCTTTCCATGCTCGATGCTGCTGTGAGGGCTGGCTGGGGTTCAACGGGCACATTGCTGGATCACTGTGGTGAAGACCAAAACTATGGACTGTTCCCAATGAGGCACATTTTTTACCCAAATGATGGCCTTCCCAGGCCTGCCACTGAGTAACAGCACATCCTTGTCTGTCCAGGGAAGGGATCTGGACTGAAGCCTTACAAGAAAATTTTAGTTGCCCAGAAATAAATAGCTTTGTTGCTTAATCAGCCAGTTATTTGCATATAGTAATTCCCATCACTTCTACTAGCTGTTTGATTCAGTGATAGGATCCTGGTATATTGCTAAAGCACTGAGGAAATGAGGCTTAAAAATGAGGTTGTAGTTAAATCATATTCAATACACATTGAGGTTTTTGGCAGTCATATTAGAAAGTAAATTTGTAGCTGGAATGTAAAAAAGGACTAATGAAGCAGGAATACATGTGCTAGAAGTATTTTATGTGGGGCTTTCAAAAACTGATCTTCCCATTGGTGATTTTTTTTCGTAAAAGCTTTGAAAACCCACGGGAATATTTGAAAAGTATAATGCTAACTCCTCCTTTGTTGTGTTTCGTTTTGGTCTGACAGCTTAGGTGTGAGAAAACATTTTCAAACAATACTAAATCATTGGGTTCCGAACAGGGTCTAGTCAAGAGCTAGTTCATTAAAAAACCATCCCTCATGTTTCAGATTACTTGACAGAAGGGCCTATGAACAGTAGCAACTGAAAGATAAGAGAAGATCTAAAGATGAGTTTCTCTGAAGTTCATGTGCTGAGGTCTGGCTGGTTTATGTTGAATATTTATGCAAGGTCATTCAGCCTGGCTAATGTGGAGTTGTTCAGGGACGACTTAAAATTGGACTCAGTTTGCAAATAAAACGGGTAGGTTCCCTAATCATAATTAGGCAAATGAGTGATTTAATTAAAGAAAATGGCTTCTAGATAAAGTTTTGAGTAAACTTAATGTTACCTCTTTTTAATGAGGCTCCTAGGAACTTCAGAGCAGAGGATTTTTAGACAATTATTTTTGTCTTGTAAAATATGTTTATTTTACTTAAAAGCAATACACTTATTTGAAGAAAGCAAGTGTCCCAGGAGATGAACACAACTTCCAACCATAGCATTTCTGGCCATTCTTTCACCTTGGGTTTCCCTTCAGATGTGTGTTTATAACGCCAGCTGGCATTGCGCAGGCTGTTCTCAAAGCAGTTAGATCCTGGACTGTTTGGGCACAGAGTGTTACAACATGAAAATTATAGAGCATGTCTGATCATAACAGAAGGCTAAGGAGTTTTTAATGTAGCAGAGAACTGTAAAGTAATAAAATATTTTCAGTGGTGCTGGTGGATATGGTATGCAGTGTTTAAGCAACGTGACTTCAAAGTAGGGGATTTTACTGCCCCTGTGATTAGCTGGACTATCTGAAGAAACCTTACTTCATACCTGAGTTTTATTGAGTTGGACTTGCTGGTAGCTCTACTAATACTGGATTTTCCTGTTTTCTCTGTAGCCTGTAACACGGCCACCCGTTCCAGCACACCAGGTACCCCCTTACAAAGCTGTTTCAGCCAGGTTCCGTCCGCTCACCTTTTCTCAAAGTACCCCCATCGGCCTGGACCGGGTTGGACGGAGGCGGCAGATGAGAACATCTAACGGTAAGATTGGCGAGTCCTTTTAACTCTCTAGATCTCAGCTTCGTACCCCAGCTTAGTCAGGAACTAGATTATAGTGTGGATCACAAAAGGGTGCAGACTAACTCAGTGACAAAGTAGTACCCAGCTAAGTTGCTTTGTTTTGTGAGTTTCTCATTAGTAGCTGCTGTGTTCATGTAAATCTTGTTTTTCACATCTACTGTCTGACATTTATATGGTTTATTCTTCTGTACCACTTACCCTCCTGTATTTTCCACTCTCTATTCACATACTTGCCTGAAGATAGTAATAGAATATGAAGGAAGTAAGGTCCAATATGCCTGAGTTCATACCTGAACCATAGCCACATCACACATGTATTTTTAATTTTCTGTTTGCCATGCATTCAGCTTAATTACCTAGATAGGCAAGCCCTAAATAATTAAGCAGCTTGTTTCAGAGAACTGTATGCGGTTGCAGTTGCTTACTCAGTGGTTAGTGTAGCCCAGCCAGGGTTCCGGTACATGATGGACAGGTTCTTGGAAAAGGTTGCCTTTTTGGAAGCATTACCCTTTATCAGACTCTCTGATGTGCCCTGTGTATTTTTGCTGTACTTGTTTACTATTAGCATGCATTGCTATCTTGAGTTAATAGAAAGTCATGTCTAGCATTAGTGGAACATTTCTTGGCAGGTGGAACCAGAAGAACCTGGTTTAATACCACTTGTGTTCTTTCAGACAGCTGTCAGCTTAATCTGAACAGTTATTCATGTTTCACTGGCAAGGGTCAGAAATAAAAGCAAAATTTTCACTTTATATCCTTCACTGTTAATAGTGAACAAAACACTAGTGGGAACCTTCATTCTGCCTCTCTGTGGAGAGAATAAGTAAAGGTGTCTGGATCAGGGCTTGCCATGACTGAAGTAGGAAACTTAACAAATAGCATTTTCAGCGTTTCTTTATTAAAATGATATGTATGTTTACTAGTCAGTACTTGGCTTTTATGGCTCTAAGCTAAGTTTTAGCTGCAATGATGTCCAAATTCTGCTCAAAAAATCCTCCAAGTACACATCAATTTATATAAGAATATGTTAAAACTGCATTTTCCAGTCTTCAATAGAGCATGATAGTTTTCTTCAGAAAGTGCTCTCCAAGGAACAGACTTGAGAATTTCTAACTATAGCAATGAGATATATTATATATATTATATTAGTATTTTCCTTTTAATTTATATTGTAGTAAAATATTGGGAAATACTTTAAAGCCCATGTCTGGATTGTGTCCTTGCTGTCTCAGTACACTTAATAATCCAGATTAGACATCAAGGTAAATTAGACATCTAATGCTGTGACCCTTGCTGAGATTACATGGTATCTCAGTGCCTGATTCCAGAAGGACTACTCACAGAATAACAGGTTTGCCATGAGCTAGTTTTCAAAAAAAGAGACTCTAAGTATCACAAAGTAGGAATTATTTTTCTATTTTTAGTTATCCTTTCCATTTCATGTTTGGAAACCATATGAAATAATATTAGTTACCTAGGCAACTGCCTGAGAGTAGTATATTTCCAGGTATTTAGCTTTTAATAACTGGTCTCCTAAACATAAGCATCAGGATGACAAATACACAAAGCAAGATTTCTGCCACTTCTCAAGAAAGTGAAGCCAAAGCAATACTGATTATGCTAGATGTGACTTTTATGACTCATTACAATAAACATAGAAGCTGAGCAGGAAAAACTTCTGAAATCAAAGCCCTGAAGGCAAGTAAGGAATATCACGGACTTCGCAGTTTGAGAGCAGTTGCAAAGATCTATTAAGTAGCTGCAGCAGAAAATAAAAAAATGACGAGTGTCACACATTCTGATCTTTTTCCTTTTTTGCTTAAATTCACAAGGCATTTCCTTGTCTTTGAACATGTGAGAGTTTTTTGTTTGCTCATGTACAGTGAAATTTGATAGCACAAAAGCCCTTTATTATAGAAAGAAATTCTAAACCCAAGCACTGAAAACCAGTGGCATCTTATTTTAGTTACTTGCTAAAGCCTAATACATTGCATATCTACTTCTGTAACAATGAGAGATAGAATTGGAGATGTAAATTTTTAGAAAAAACAGTTGTCACAAGACAGTAAATCATCATACTGTAGGAGACAGACTAACAAGCAGCCAACACGCAAGTGAAACTTCCCTTGAGACTTACATTGCTACTCTTGTGCTTAAAGGATTACAAGTTTTAAATTATATTAAAGACGTTACCTATTTATCACAGTACAGCAATTTTTATAAGTATCTTAAAAACTAACCCATCTTTCTTGCATATTGTGGTGTGGGATTTGAATTTGGCTGAATTAATTGGTGAACTCCTTTGGATAAGCTGAGCTCTGAGTAGGTGGGGTGGGATTCAACTCAAGTTTAAGTCACCTAAATTTAGTCTAAATGTAGGTACCTATGTAAGAGTTAAACATTAGAACACCAGTTACAGGCAGTGGAGGACTAGGGCTTCATTCAGTTACCCACCCCAGGGTCCAGTGCTGTGGGGGGTACCTGAGCACCTACCTGGAGCTGGCAGATATGACAGAGGAGGCCAGCAGGATATCCAAAATACTTAAAATGGCACGAAGTATGTACGTTTAAACAACTGATCTGAGGCCTTAGCCATTGCAGTCAATGAAGGTTAGAGCAGGAGCTGCCTTTGGGTGAGGTGGATTGCTCTCTCAGCTGTTTTAATTGTGACCAATACCTGCTGATTTAGATGGTTCGTTCAAATGTGGATTCCAGCATTTAGATTAATAAATCTAAATGTCTTTAATTCACATAGTATCCTGTCCTGGACATTTGCCTACAATGTTAAACTACTGTCAAGCTTTTCCCAGTTCATCAAGGTTGGGTAACCGAGGAGGTTTCAGCCGGTGTGGAGCACAGCTCGGGAACTGAAGTGCAAACAAACTGGCTGTTGGGAGAGGAGATTTTCAGGTTCTCCATCCCTATCACCAATGAAATACTCAAACCCCACCCCCAGAACAAACAGAAGTTAGTAATCACTCCCCGAGAGAAAACAGTTCTCTGCTTGCTACCATCTCCTCGCTACCCTATCTTTGCTCCCCCACCCCACAAGAGTGAGGATGTAAGTAGGACAATATGCAGGAAACACAAATTCCCAGGTTACTAGACTGAGTGCTGTATTTGTCACGGACAGGACCTGAAGGGGCATCATGAAATCCACTACTGCAGGCTAAAGCAGTCCCAGTGTTGCTGGGCGCAGAAAAGCCTCTGAACTGGAGGATGATGGCTATGGGATACTTTGAAGGATGGCGCTTGTACCTGATTGGAAAAGATAAAAAACTCTGCTGGTGGGTAATGGGATTTAGTTGCATAGATAGCTGGGCTAGATGATGCAAACAGGACCTAGCGGCGTGTTGGGAGCAGCTGGTGCATCAGGTGAAACACCCAGGCAGTCCTCGGGGCTGCGGAGGGGAGGTGGTACCTGTGGGGCAGGTGGGTGCCAGGGAGAGTGCGGTGGGCAGGAGGCAAGCGCTGGAGGCAAAACTGAGGCTGTCAGGTAGAAGCTAAAAGACCAGGAGCCCAACGGTAAAATGTCCAAAGTGCTGCCAATGCCACGCTCGGTGTCAGACAGAGAGGCCTTTTTACCCCCAGGCACCTTCATCCAGAAAGTTGGACTAAAAAGAGGGAGATTTAGGGCAAAGCTGGCAAGGAGTAATAATACACGGTGTAGGGCAGCACATCCTTTACAGGCGATGTCAGTGATCACTGCATCCTCAAATGGAGGGTGGAGAAGAAGCTGACAAAACTCAGGCAAGAAATAGTCAGGAACAGTTGGACAAATGTTGTTTAAAGAGGATTTAGAAAAACAGGCAACCCTGCCAGTAATAGTGAACGTTTAAAAAGTAAGATGGAGAAGTAAACATATTTTTAAAGACGCTAGATGGCATATGTCAGAAACTTGGTTGAAGGAAGATAACCAGTGGAGCATAACCAGTATATCACCACTGTGAAAGCTGTATAGGAATAACAGAAAAGATTGTACCAGTGAAAGAGGGTCTCTATGTATTAAAAGCTAAGAGCCAAATCAGATAAACAAATTGACTGTATCATCAAGTGTCACAGGATCTGTAGTCTGGAATGCCATGCCTAAACAGGAAAAAGTACAGTGACGGGATTAAATTATGAGCCACCTGAGATCACCAGGTTGATGAAAGTAAATGTGACAAACCAAGGAAACCAGAGAAGTTTCAAGGGCAGCAAGCACAGTCCTAAAGGAGACTTAAATTGCTGTCGTGTGGGTTAAGTGTTGTGATGGGGCACAGTGCTACATTTCTAGGTGTACCATAAATAACTATTCAGTGCAGCTCATCAGGAGACCTACGGGAAGTGAAACAATCCTTGAACCGTTCCTGAGATGTGTGCAGGATCACACATAAAAGCTACTCTGTAAGGGTGGGATGTGTCTCATCTGACTGTAGAGACTTGTAAGCTAAGCTAGGTGACCTTGACTGGAAGAAACAGGTAATTTAGGGTGTTGTTCATTAACCAAATACAGACAGATAACAAATCTTGTCCTCTGTGTCCATAATGCACTCTGAGCCAATATCCTTGCAGGGGTGAGAAGAGTAAAAAAAATCCAATACAGTATGTGTTTTAATTTAAAAGAGGGAAAGTAAATAAAAGTGAGAAGTCATTCATGTAACAAAGGAATTTAAAGGAGCAGAAAAAGGTGTTGAATGCTTGCAGGCAGCACGGAGAGTGTTCAAGGACAGCATATTAGATACTTAGAGCAAATTCATGTCACCTGTCAAAACAGACTTTGGAAACACCAGAAAAGGGTTCTGTCAGTAAACACAGGGGAAAAGAATCTATCAGAAGAAGAAGAAGAAGAAAAGGCATCCTTCAGTTTGTTGAATTGTAACCAAATAGAAAAAAAATACCTCTAGCAATTTTGATGTAAAGCTACAGGAATGCAGAAACAATTTGCTAAAGATATGAAAACTACATCGTTTTTAAAAAAT